CGTTGATTTGATATGAGAGTGGTTTGACTTGGAATTTGGCGTATCTCACGTTTCGTCTGTCACGTGCGGCGATGATGATATCGGCCGGAGCAAGGGCTCTACGACGGGCGATGTAACGACGTCAGCCCGGCAGAGCAGGGGCTCGTCGCCGGACTGGATAATGACATCGGCCGGAGCAAGGGCTCTACGACGGACGATGTGACGACGTCGTCCCGGCAGAGCAGGGGCTCGTCGCCGGACTGGATAATGACATCGGCCGGAGCAAGGGCTCTACGACGGACGATGTGACGACGTCAGCCCGGCAGAGCAGGGGCTCGTCGCCGGACTGGATAATGACATCGGCCGGAGCAAGGGCTCTACGACGGACGATGTAACGACGTCAGCCCGGCAGAGCAGGGGCTCGTCGCCGGACTGGATAATGACATCGGCTGGAGCAAAGGCTCTACGACGGACGATGTAATGTTGTCACGGCTCGAAGGCCTCGTGACCTTCTGGGACTGAGGAGTGTCAGAGGAGCGGCCGTGCCTATCCCGAAGGCTTGCAGCAGACCTACTTCCCCCAATCCTTCCCGTCTCGACTCAACTTTCACGAATGAGGTTCGACATATATTTTTTATTCATGTACATTTATATATGCGTTTATTTATTTATTTACTATCAAATATATATATCTACATATATATATTACACTATTATTATTGTTATTATTATTATTTATGCGGATGTGTGTGTATGTATACACAAATGCTTAACATATATATTATATATATATGTATTTAAAACGAGATTGAGGGTAGGATTACCTCGGGCCGGTGTAGAATGCAGGCCTGAGAGTAGTACTGTCTGGAGAGGTCAGCTTCTCTTTCACCTTTACTCTTCAAGTATTTGCCGAGCTCCTCGATTTCGAGACTTTGATCGCTTATCAGTCTGGACGCTATGAGCCCTAATTCTATTTCTTACATCTACCCTATTTATTACAATATTTTCATGGTCTAGTTCTATTACATTTTTCACAAATTAAATCCACGAGCTCACGTATTCGTTGTCCGGTCTGGGGCTTTTACAATTTAAGTAAATTTATAAGCCTATGTTGCTTTCCAATACTGGGCCAAATCCTATTTATTAGAATTCCCCTACTGGGCCCAAATCTTGCTTGTGCCAACTCCATTGTTAGGCCCAAAAGAGAGCCTAGCCTTCTATTCATCTCGCGATAAGGAGTTGCGGCAGTTCTTCCAGATCGCGATTCCTAAGCTTCCTTCTTCAAAAAGAAATTCTTTCAATTTATCCTTCGAGAATTGAATCGTCGAGGGACTTTCAGTGTCGGAGGTCGAGATTAGAACGATTCTCGGCTTTGGATTCGAGCTCGGTATCTCAACCTGAGGACGGCAGCGATTGGTCGGCATCCGGTCTGCTCGGCGTTTGGGTTTGGGGGCGTAGCTTCCCGGCAGTGGCGGCTCGGCACTCGAGTTATGGGTGTTGGATCTGAGTAGCGACGGGTGGTTCGAGTCTTGATGGTGAAGATCGGAGGTCGGCGCCAGCGGTTTGGTGAGGCCGGCAGACGGCGTGGTTTGAGGACATCAGTTCCCGGCGTTTAATGCCTGTGGAGGAAATCGGTGGTTGGTGCGGTGTGACGCCGAGGGGGCCGAAATCGGTTTGGAGAGGACGAGGTCGGCTCGTCACGACGTCACCGTGGAGAGGTCGACGTCGATCCGGAGGGCTTGTCGGCGACCGACGAATGGAGCGGATCGGCGGCGATGTTGGAAGTTGGAAAGGTCGGCGTCGATCTGAGTAGGATGAGGTCGGGCTCGGCGGCGAGGTCTACCCTGTGGTCTGGCGTTTTCCCGGCTCGACTGCTAGCCGGAGGAGGCGAGGTCGGCTGTGGGCTGGAGACGCCGATGTCGGCAGGTCGAGGTCGGCGGTCGGCCATGGGTCGTGTTGAGGTCGGCCATGGGCTATGGGTTCTTGTGAATTCGGGCCTCCCGTTTTGTAGATCGGGGGTCGGTGCCGCTGGCTGTGATTTGATGAACCCGGGCTGTAACGGGGGGTTGGCCCCGGCAGCCCGTAGGTGGTCCGTGTCAGTTCGGCATTTGAAGACCCTGTTGTGTCGTGCGAGCTCGGCATTTGATGTTCAGTCCGGCATTTGTGACGTCTGGTCGAGTTCGGCACCCGTAGAGTTGGGCTGCCGGCTGTGAGGGGTAGAGTCAGCCCGTGTCTTGAGGTCGGAGACCCGGTCGTAGAGAGGATGACCTGATATGACGAACTCGGTTTTGCGACCTTGAAGCTCGTCGGCGGACGAGGGAGCGAGTTCGCTCGGTCAGCGTGGTGTGGTCAGGCCCGATGACTGAGACCAGAAGTGCCGAGGTGATGTCGAAGAAGACGGAGTCGAGTCCGCCGTCTATATGGTCCGTCGTCTATGTGGTGACGACTCGAAGTCCTTGGTCGTCATCGGAGAGTTTCGAGTATGCCGCCGCTGAGATGGCTAGTCGCAGCGGCGAGGTTGACTCGTGAGGTCGGCCCGGCTGAGGGCGGCACCTTTGATTTAGAGGCCCGGTTTACTGCTTGGTGTTGCTCGTCTGAGGCGAGGGGCAGAATCCAGCCCGGCATCTACGGGGTGTCTGGCCGGACTTTGGGCATTGAGTTGGCCTCGGCGGCATGAGGTTGGCCGTATGAGGCGAGGAACAGAATCATCTTTTCTATTCATTTATTTTATTTTTTATTTATTTTTTGTGTCCTTATCTATTGTCATTATTAGATCTGAGATGATGTGACACGAACAGTATTGCACTGCAGACAGAGACAGTGCACGTGGTTCTGTATTGTCCAAGTGGTATTATGTGCTTGTTTTTTAATTCAACAGAAAAATAAGAAGAGAAAAAAGAAAAAGGTAAAGCTGCGTGAAATAGCAGTAACAGTAACAGGAAAAACCAATCTCCATTCTTCCAATCAAAACAAAACCAAAGAGAAAATATAAGGTTGGAAATCTCAATAGGACTTTCTTAAGCAAGAAGGTTCAGAGCCCCAAAAGCAAAAATAAACTTCAATCTCGTATATTGGAGGTTTGTTAGTTGTGACGGAAGGGAGGAAAATTGGTTGGATTTGGAGACTATTCTTTTCTTTTTTGGGATGAACACATATACATTATGTAGTGATATATATTCAAGAAAAATAGGAGAAATAAAATGTAGACAAAATTGAGATGAGATCATGAAATACAAACTTGGTGGAAAATGTGTTTTCCGGTTGAGAGGTGGCCGTTTTTCGGCGAAAATTGACTCCGAGCAAATTACGGAGCCCTTCCTCTAGCGCCAAACTGTTGATGTCGAAAATCGGACGATCAACCGTCGAGTATAATTCGAATCTATATATGAAAAAAGAAGAACAAAATAGATGGAAATGGATGTTTATTTCTTATGTTTTTTGGGAAGAATGTGAAAAAATGGAGAGAGCGTCATCCAACCGCCCCTACTCTCTCTTGTGTTGTGTGGGAAGGGAGAAAAATGAAGAATGGAGGAAGACCCCCTTCTCTCTCCTCCTTCTTACATATATATACAAGTCCACCTCTTTTTTGCAAGTGGGCAATTTAAAATAAATAAAAGGTAGTACATTATCATTTAATGAGAGGTAGTCATTGGGGGACCCGCTAATGACCCTTGACGGTTCCGACCGATGTCTGTCTCCTTGGCTCGGTAGCAGTGGACTCGACATTTGTGAACCCGATCGGTTTTTAGGTGATCCATCCCGAGAACTTTGTTCGTATATTCATTTATTATGTATTTTTGGCTCATCGGTCATTGGGCCGTATTTTATTATTTAATTTATTATTTATTTAATCGGAGCCAAATTGGGTATCAACAGGCCGCTTCAAATGTAAACACTTATGAATCCATTGTGTTGTCCATGGCCAAAACGGACACAACGATAGAACGGAATGGAGTTAAGACTTTATTGTGTGAATGTCATTGTTTCGGTGTACACTATGGAGGAATAGTTCAATGCATTATGTCCACTAGTCCGCCAGTGCATCCGATGATGTTTACTAAGAAAGGTTCAAAGCCAAAAGCTATATTTTCTGATACAATAGAGTTTTGTGAGGATTGAGCACAATAGTATAATTTACACTCATGTGGGGGATTGTTATAATGAGTGTTAAATTGATATTTTAATTAATATTCTTCCTAATATTCATATTCTTCTTCCTAATATTCTTCTTCTTCCTAATATGCTAACCTCTATATGCCATCTACTACAAATTTTAATGGTTAGTCAACCATTTTCCAACCACATCCTAATTATTTTATAACCACTTGATACCAATTTGGTTTCATTTGTGTATATATATATATATCACATTTGATGAGAACAAAAAGAAAGAGAGGAGAAGAAAACACGCAAAGAAAGAAAGGAGAAGGAAAGAAAAGGAAAGGAAGAGAGAGAAGAAGAGAAAAGGAAGAAAAAAAAAACGTGAGAAAAGGAAAGAAAAAGAAATAAAAATATTATATATAATTTTAATTTTAGTGCTCAATTCTCGATTTCGTTCCCAGTTCGTCTGAGCTCGTAAATCTGGTGTGCTACAGATTTAGAGACGTTTGCCGTTGTATCTTTGGGGAAGTTACGCCTGAACCGTTAGCTGCCACACGGGGCGTATTCTTCTTGCGGAAAGAGTATTACTCGCCTCGGCTAAAATCTTTCTGTTTTAATTTATTTTTCAGTTGTAATTTATTTTTTCAGTTCAATTGTAATTTTCTAATTTTAGATTATTTGTAAGAACTGAAAAAAAAAAAAAAATACATATCAGTTCGTAGGATTCCCGTGTAATTTTTTATACCCGTGATATAACAAAATTAACAGTACATGAATATATTATTAACAAAAATCACTCAAAATTAAGCATTATCATATTACTTATCCCTATAAGCTCATTAATTTCCGATTCCTTTTGCCTCCCTCCATAATATCTCTTATGAGGATTTGTCAACCCATACCATATTTTTATTACTTTTATTATGAATTCCTTTTCCCTTTCGCCATACTAAAAGAACACACAAAAAAGCAGCCGGTTTTCGCCGGCGGTGAAAGATAACGGGATCTGCTCGAGAAACCCACTCGTGGGTTCTTAGCGTGTCCGATTTCTTTCGGGCATTTTGTCGAACATTTTACGACCATTCCCCTTTTGTACTGTTCTAATATCTCCTGCCGAATTTTTCCGGCTACGTTCCCATTTTCCGGCCGAATGGAATTGTCATTTTTGGTTTCCTTCGAAGCGACACCTTTCTTGATATTTGATGGGCGTGGGAGGTTGAGACTATTTGTTGGTAATGACAATGGTGGAGAAGCGTGATTTGCTTTAAGGTTTTGAAAGCGTGTTTCGAGGTGGGATGGAAGAGCAGAGGTCTTGAAAGCAGAGGAATTAATGGCGGCCAACTGCTCAAGAGCCACCATATCCATAGCTTGGGAAAGTAGTTCTTCCACTGCGTTTTTATCGTCACCATATGTAAAGAAACCGGCCATTTTTCAGAGAGAGTTTTAACTCTGTTTTGCAATTGAGAGAGGACTTTGGAGCTGAATATAATACTCTGTTCCCATGATGTTTTTTCAAGGGTTTATGGTAATAACTCCACTGAATGCGATTTATGGAAGCTCATCCGACTCCGAAGAAAAATGGTGATGCACTTTCGTTAGGCGACTTTCATTTGCTCGTTTGTTTGTTCTGATACCAATTTGATGCCACAAAAGAATTACACGTGGCAAAGGAAAGAGTGCTTAAATTACTAAAATATACCCGTACAAACAGGGGAATATTCTAGTGTAGGATTTGATTTTTTGTTATTGTGTCAAAATAAGGCTTGAATTTTTAATTTTTTCATTTGAAGGTTCCAATATAAGAGACTTACTTTTAAATTCTACTTTTCAATTTGTGACTCCAAATCACTTTGTATTTTGATATAATTATGTAAACAACAATATATTTTTTTTAAATTTATTTTTTTAAGTACTTATAATGAAAATATTAAATATCTTTAACAAAATTATCTAATAAGATAATTATTTCATAATTTACATTTATGCAAAAGTTTTATGAAAATTATTTTAAAAGTTAAAAAATGAATTTTAACTTAATTTTAATCTAAATATGTGATAACTTTAAAATATAAACTATTTAGAATAATAATTTTATTTTTTAAAACTAAAATTACAGAAAATATTATTTGTGAATAAAATTTATATTTTTGAAAAGTTAAGAATATATAAAACTAATACCCAGAAAATTCCATTGTAGGTAGTTTTATTCACAAATAATATTTTCTATAAATTTATTTAAAAAAATAAAACTATTCTTCTAAATAGTTTGTACTTTAATGTTATCACATATTTGGATTAAAATTAAGTTAAAAATTTATTTTTTAACTTTTAAAATAAATTACTTTAAGGTTTTGCATAAATGTAAATTATGAAATAATTATCTTATTAGATAATTTTACTAAAGCTATTTAATATTTTTCATTATAAATACTTAAAAAATAAATTTTAAAAAAAGTATTGTTGTTTATATTATTATATCAAAATACAAAGTGATTTGGGGTCTTAAATTGAAAAGTAGAATGTAAAAGTAGGCCTTATATGAGAATAACTTAAAATTGAAACCTTCAAATGAAAAAGTTAAAAATCCAGGCCTTATTATGACATAATAAAACGTCAAGCCTACAATGAAATTTCCACTATTATTTTCCAAGTTAGCAGAAATGGCGAGATAAAAATATGACACCTGGTCCAAAATGATTGGTTCACGGATATGCCGACCTTTTTCTAAAGAAGTGGTCTAAGAGCATCTACAATGCTTTGGGTTTAATTGTGCTTACGTGGCATGTAAATAGACCTAAGTCTTGGATGATGTAGACAAAAATATATAAAGTATCAAATTTAACTCCAATGCAAAGAGACTAAGTCTCTACTTGGGTCTAAAATAGACTTAAGGCTAGACCGGGTCTCTTTTTTTTGGTTCCACATAAGCATGACTCAGTCTACTTACACTTGCATTAGAGTACTTATTTTTCTTGATCGAGTCTATTTCTTATGTGGCGTGTGTATTTTTGTGAATGAACCCAAAGCATTGTGGGTGCTTTAAAAGAGTTGGTCTAGAAATATGCTGACTTGGACCAGAGATATGTCAAGAAATTAAAATATTAAACTTAATTATTGTAACTTAATATTTTATAATTTAACTAGCATTTTGATTAGTAGTTAAACTCAAATAAATATTACAAACAAACAAGTTAAAATTATAAAATAAGTATAAACTTTATACTCACTTAAAATTAACGGTTTAAACACCAAAATTAAAATTACTAAATAAATATAAATTGAAATTTGTGTTGATGTTTTTTAATTTAAAATTAATGTTTGTGACAAAATCCACGTCGCTTTTGATGTAAGTGCAATTTTATGGTTTTAATGTAAATTTATTAATTAATATGATTAATCAATAGTTAATATATATGCATAAATATGTAAATTTTATGCAAGCGTAATGCATTAAAATGTTATTTATAAAGACTATGTAATAAATTAATAAAATTAGAAAAGAATATGCTAGAAATATTCTTTTAGAGGGGAATTATAGAGGGAATGAGTTGAAGTTGTTAGCACTGTTGAACCTGTAAAACTAATGGGATTTCACTATAGAAACTCTAAAAATAGAGTTTCCAGTTGGAGATGCTCCAATAATGTACAATAATATTAACATGTAGGTTGTGTGAAATAGAGGCAAAAAATATTTTCCTGACATAAATTATTATATTGTTCGTCTTTTTTCTACAATTTCAGCATGTTTATACCAATGTTATCAAAACCGGACCGGTCATCGAACCGGTGAAGCTACTGGTTCAATGGTTCACTGGTCGGACCAGTGGTCGGACCGGTTTAACTAGTATACAATTTATTTATTTATTTTATATGTATAATATATAATTATATATATATATATATATATTTTATCATTAATTTTATAGCATATAATGATATTTTTCTAAATAAGAGTTGATAAATCAATATTTTAAGTATAGTTTACCATAAGCAATACTAAATTAATTTCACTAAAACAATAGATTAATAATTCAATATCTAAAGCAAGGTAATTCAAATTACAAATACAAACTACAAAGTCATCAAACATCAAAATATATCCAATCCAACATTACAATTCATCAAACATCAAAATACTCTCTCACTCTTTTCCTTTTGTTTGATTTTTTTTATTTCATTAGGATTTTTTTTTTCAAATTTCAGAACCGGTTCGACCAGTCGAACCGGTACCGGTTCACCGGTTTTACCGGTTTTGAACCGGTTCGAACGGTTCGAAACCGGTTCTTGTTCCCAGCAGTTTAAACACTCAAACCGGACCGGTACTAGGTCCGGTTCCCAGTCGACCCGGTCGAACCGGCCGGTCCAGTCCGGTTTTGATAATATTGGTTTATACACTCCATATTGTGGTACTACGGCTTCCTGCTAGTATAAATTATTATATTGTATGGTACTATGGCTTTCTACTTCCTGCTTCTGCTTCTGCAATTTCCGCATTTTATCCACTCCGTACTTTGGAAAAGTTATATATTCATGTTTGTACAAGTTATATATTCAGGTTCTTGTAAAAATTGATGAGTTTCACTTGTATGAAGTGTATTGTTATGTATTATATGTTAATTAATATCATGAAAAATGTTTACGTTCAGGATATTGATTTTGTTATGATCATTAGTAGGTTTCCTTTTCAATTTACATTATTTATGATTATCATTAAAAATTATTATAGTCTGAGAAGGAGATGAATGAGGACCACTTGATATGATTGAACTTTATAAGCGTACACATTATAAAGAGAAAGGTGACTGATCAACAGAAGAGGCAAAAGAAAATTGAGTATGCTGCATACACAATCTGATATTTTAATTGTTGAAATGAATATGAATTTGATTATATACTCATTTATTGGTATGTGTCAGAACTTGACGATTTCAAGGAGAGAAATATATTCTAAACAAGGCGCTGAGAATATTGCACAAGATATACTTCTTGAGTTTCTTGGCTATGGATCTGGTTATATACATATATATATATATATATATATATATATATATATATATATATATATATATATATATATATATATATATATATATATATATATATATATATATATATATATATATATATATATATATATATATATATATATATATATATATATATATATATATATATATATATATATATATATATATATATATATATATATATATATATATATATATATATATATATATATATATATATATATATATATATATATATATATATATATATATATATATATATATATATATATATATATATATATATATATATATATATATATATATATATATATATATATATATATATATATATATATATATATATATATATATATATATATATATATATATATATATATATATATATATATAAAGTTATAGGTATGGACCGAGACCACCATATAGACGCAAAGCATATGACGCGAATGGCCAATACCTCCAGAAGGAACTTCTAGAAGTGCACGAAAAGCTACATGAATAAGAATCTCAAGTGATTGAGCTTAAAGAACAAATTAGTGATTTGAAAGACCGACTAAGTCAATAAGGTACAAGTATCGATAAGCTTATGGCTGCTCCTGAGAACAAAAAAAAAAGTTTTATGTAAATAATAAGTTTCATCTTAGTTATGTGCGAAATTGCTTTAGTGTACTATTTCTTAATATTTTAATTACTATGCATTGATTTGGAAAGCTTAATACATATAAGCGAGCACTTTTATTGTGGCTGATTGGATTTTGCAACAAGAAGGTCTTGAGGCTAGTGTTTCGATGTTGATATATTCAAGACACTCTATCATGAGATATGTCAACTTAGAAATGTGATACAATGAGATTTGCTACATTTTATATTTAAGATTTTTTTTTTATTGTGCTTGGAACATGTTGAGTTTTTAGTTAGTTTATTTATGTTCGTTATATTGCTCTTGGAATATTTTGAGATTTATTAGTCCGTGTTTTTTTATTACTATGAGTGCTTAGTGCCACGATATAATTATTTTAATTGATGATAGAGTTTGTCACTGTATTTTCTTTTTCACGACATAATTGTTTCAAGTGACAATAAAATTTGTCATTGTACTATATATTTCATAATGATTAAACTTATCACTATCTATGCAATTAATGACAATCATTATATTTATATCAAATATTGACAATTTTGACTAGTCATGGATTTCCTTTTTTTTTTTTGAAAATATTTAATTGTGGCGTATTGGTTTGGATTTGTCACCATATCCTCCTGATCTGCTTGAAGAGTGTTGATTTTCAGAATGGCCAAACTATCCTCCTCTCCAAACACCTCCCTCACCCTATGCTCCAACCATTGTCTTCCGTTCTCAGCAATTATGTCCTTCACCCTCAGAGTCCTGCAGCTAGCCTC